TCGTCGGCGCGGTGTACCACATCGCCGAGGACCTCACCGACATCACCCTCATGGACGCGTACTCCGGCGAGGTCGTCAGGCGGATGGACGGGCTGAGCAGGCCAGGCCTCAGGGTCTGCGCTGGCGGCGACATGATCTGCGTCGTGAGCCCCGGCGACGGGCTGCTCCGCGTCGTCGACGTGGCCACCGGCGACCTGACCGACCTCTCGATGGGCTGCTCGGCGGCGACGGGGAGGAACGTCTCCTCCGGGTACACGCTGGGGAAGGTGCCCGCCACCGGCGAGCACAAGCTGCTCCACGTCTACGCCGCCGCCAACGGGTCCCAGTCAAGCGAGGTCCTCACCATCACCACCGGCGCCGGCGGCGGCTGCCAGTGGAGGGCGACGCGGAGCCACCCGCCGATGAGGATCGAGCACGGGATCAGCCGGAGCAGCGCGACCGTCGGCGGGGTGGTCCACTTCCTCTCCCCGGCCACCACCTCCGCCCCGCGCGACCGCGGCGTCGAGTGCGACACCATCGCGGGGTTCGACCTCGCGACGGAGCAGTGGAGGCCGGTGCTGATGGACGGCCCGCTCCCCGCCGACCAGCGCCACCGCGGGCAGCGCCCCAACCTCAGCCTCGCCGCGCTCGGCGGCCGCCTCGTCGCCGTCCACCACGACTACCCCGGCAGGACCATCAACCTCTGGTCCCTAACGCCGAACACCACGACATGGACAAAGCTTCACTCGCTCCCGATCAAGAACGTCCTCCGCGGGTGGGAAGAAGAACCGACGAGCCACCCGGCGGCGGCAGCGGAGGCGAAGCGCGGCGGGCGAAGCAAGAAGAGGAAGAAGAAGAAGGAGGAGGAGGTGAGGTGGTTGTGCAGGGAGAAGGTGGCGCAGCCGCTGGCGATGGTGGGGGACGGGAGGATGGCGGTGTGGGCGAGGGGGTGCGAGGGGGCGGTGCGGCTGCACGACCCGAGGACGGGGGCGTGCGAGGAGGTGGCGCAGGTGGAAAAGGGCGGCTGCGTCCTGGGCTTTTATTCCGGGGCTCTCGCGCAGGGCGAAGAGTTCTAGGTAGCACTTGGGTGTGTAGCTAGACGAAACCTTAAGTGTTACTGCAAAAGAATTGTATGGTAAAATAGTAGAGATGAGTCTCTTGCGCCGCTCATATATAACGGGCAGGCGTGTGTATGGAGAGATTCTTTTTCTTTTTTAAAAACAGGAAAAAAGTTTATTTAGTATAAGTTTTAATTACTCTATTGTTAATTAATGTGATATACTTCCTTTTATTATGTAATATAGTAAATATTTAGTATTTAAATTTATATTAAAATTTGGTTTTTTCTCCCTCTCTTATCTTAACCAATTACAATTATCTTCTGTTTAGTATCTCTACTTATTTCTTCATCTCAACCAATCATATTTATCTTATTTAATTCTGTCAATTTTTCAGCCATGTGGAGAACTCTAAAAATAACTTAGGACCGAGTACACTTTACCAGTATTAGGAAAAACAAACCAAATACACTCTACACATTTCTACCCTACCAAACCAAATATTGATAATGCTAAAATTCGATATTACCAAAGATTGATACTGTTTATTTTGGCATCAAACCAAACAACACTTTGGTGAGTTGGTATACATCCGGCGTTAGTTCAGACAGGAGAAGGGTGAGACTGCTGTGAGATTATCTAGTTAAATACAGTGATATATTATAAGAGTAAATTGTGCTCGCAGTATATAAATTTGTGTGGTGGGTGCAAAATAGGTACTACAACAACTATAACTTGCACATTCTGATAAAGTAACTTGACTAGTCCATCACAAATCGCACCGAAATTATCCATGCAAACAAAATTATTGTAAGGTTCCAAACTGATAGCATGTATTACTATGTTTTAGAGATCTTATTTGGAATCCAAAGAAAAAAATAAATTAATTGTGCAGAAATTTTCATGTACAGGACAAGAATTTATTTTTTTTATCATCTGTATAACTCTGTATAATGCTCACTTATATGTTCAGGAGCAACAAAATTTCTGCCATGCCATAGTCTCCTGAAAAATTCATTTTAATTTTCATTCTCAAATACTCCATTTCACCAAAAACTTGTTTTTAGAAGTTTATTTCCATGGTTGGGCTTTTTCAATTGTTTCACTTTTTTTCAATCTAAATCTGAAAAATATCGAGCGCATAATAATTATACATTTTGTCGGTCTAAATTTTGTGTAATAGTAATATGCGCCACATTAGCTCAATTTGCTTACAATGACCGTTTTGCCCCAAGTTCTCACGGACTAGGTAAGTTATTGTATCGAATTGAGCAATTTGCTAGTTGATGTACCTATTTATACCCATCACACAACTTCACGCACCATGAGCGCAATTTACTCATATTATCGTATTATATCTATACCAAATTAAAAAAAAAATCTAAGGCTTCCTTAGCTTTTTTTGGTGCATACGTCGTCGTCTCTCAGCTGACTTATTTGGCCTCTTCCTCCCGCTCCCTTTTCTCTCTCCCTCATGGCCTCCATCTCTCTCCTTTTGGACCTTTCCTCCTTCGGCCAAAAGTCCTTTTTCACTTGTCTCCTTGCCTCGGCCTGCTCCCTCTCCTCTATCCGTTGGCCTAGCTATGCTTAGGCTCAGCCCAGCCGTTGCTAGTTCTACTTCGACACACGCCTCCAGCCGACATCTATTCTTATCTCCCAGCCAAACCCTAGCATCGTTGCCACGTCGATCCGTCTCCCTGTGTGCTTCCTCATCCTCCAACCGATTGCAAAAATCGATTCCCCACTCCTCCCTTGTCATTCCCCATGATTTTCCCTTTCAATTCGGCTTTAATTTGCCGGATTTAATCTCCGTCTAACTGCTAATGATGGCCGGTCGGCGAGCTTCCTTGCCGCTTTTATCCCGAGTTTTGCGGAATTGGGTTGTGACATTTGCATGTGGATTCTCTCTGATTTTTGGGAAACGAAAAGAGCAAATTGAGTGGATCAAAAGCTCTTAACCAATTTTGGGAGATCGAGAAAGATTCGGCATATTTGATGGGGAGGATCAGCTCTAGCATCATACAAGGTACGTGACTGTCGTTCAGAGGTTGAAGACGCTACTATAGCGCAACGAGAGGAGACAGCTGACAGTGCTAGCTAGACGCTCCACTTGTGAGCCGAGCCAAAGAGATAAAGGTCAAGCCGAATGAGGTAGGAGATAGCGAACCAGACTAGGGCTAAACATAGAGAAAGGAATGAATTTTACCTAAAACTAAGGTAGGATTGTACTTACTTTTTTTCAATTATAATGTATAGTGATATCAATATTTTAATTTATTGTTTAGCTCTTAACAGTTGTTTAACATATATCTCTACTACTTAAAAAAGTGTAGTGGTGGTCTTGAATCCCCATCCAAGCAGCCCCATGGAATATGAACTATTGGATCGCGAAATCCAACGCCTCGATCGCCTATCTTTTCTTTTCCTCGAGCTCTCGGGGTTTTGGACTATTTGCCACTCTCCCGAATGAATTCGCTATTTTGCCATCGGGGAGAGAAGATTCTTGCTTGTGTGCCATTTTTGAGCCCGCAAGGCGCCACGTCACCCGATCTAATGACAAAATAACCATCTTACCCTTCTTCTTCATTTCTCCTCCGGTCTTTTTCATCCCCTTCCTTTCCCAGGGCGCCAAGGTTATTGGGCTCCGGTGAGCTCCCCGCCTCGCACTTCTCCCTCCTTTGCTTGCTCCTTACCTCCACGGCCCCTGCTCTTTCTTTTGTGTCATCGCCGGTGCCTTGCTTCATCGTCACCGTCGTCGCCTTCTTTCTCCTCTCGGCTCTTTTCCACTCTCCCCGATGTCGGCGGTTGTGTCAAGTCCAACCTCGAGGCTTCCCCTACCTTGTCATTCGCCACCTAGCGCCAGGAGGTCGGTCCGGCGGTGGTGGTGGCGGTGTCACCAGCTCACACGCAAGGAGGAAGGTTGGAGGAGAGAGACCCCGAGCTAGAGGAAGAAGATAGGCAAGACGGTTATTTTGCCCTCGGATCAGGTGACGTGGCACTTTGCAGGCTCAAAAATAATACTTTGCAGGCTCAAAAATGACACACGATCAAGAAATCTTCTCTCCGATGACAAAATAGCGAAGCCAACCTTGAGAGCGGCATTTGAAAACACGCCACCGGGAGAGTGGCAAATAGTCCAAAACCCCACAACCCAACAAAGCTCTCATCCTGAAACCGCCGATCCCCTATCCGCCTCACGCCGCCGCATACCCACTCGGTCGCTCCCCCTCAACCGCCGCCGCCCCCATCCACGCCAACGCCGTCGCCGCCGCCGCCGCCGCATCCCCTCCAACGCCATCGCTCCACGCCGCAGCCGCATCCCCGATCCACGTCGCATCCCTGATCCACGCCGCAACAGCCGCATCATCGGCCTACCCTCCATCGACGGCGTGATTCCGCGCAACGGCTGGAGGAGGCGAGGTCGGGCCTTCCCTATCGACGCTCCACGCCGCCGCAGCCCGCAGCCCCGTCGGCGCCGTCGCTGCGTCGCTCCATCGTCGTCCCGACCTCGAAGGTGAACCTGCTTCGAGTCCCTCACGCCGCCACCGATCCCAGGACTCGTCAACCCTGCAAGCCATCCATCCTGCCTGTGAACAAGGTAAGAGTGCTGCTCGATCCAGTTCCTGTACAGGAGGCATACGAGGCAGGGTATGTTAGATGCATAATGGCTTTAGAAATCCCCTGCGTTGACTAAATCCCCATTGTTCATTATTAACCATTGTTCACTGTGCATGTATATCTGTGATGCAAAACTCTAATCCAAAATCTGAAGTTCAAACTCTATCATATTAGTGGTTTACTGTACCTGACAAGCAAACATCTCAAATTTGCTACTGTTAATGTATGCTACTGAAAATTCTGGAGAAAAAAAAAACATCGTACGAACGTTTTTTCAGTTCTCTAAAAAATTCAGAAATATACAGTACACTCTGGGAGGTTGACAGCCATCCGATTCAAATCGAACGGACGATACCGACCGTACACCTCTACAGAGCTCGCCCTCTACTACGCCCCTTCTCCGACTCCGGCGAGCCCAGATCTCAGCAGGTCGCCGCAGACCTCTCCGTCGGCGGCGAGAGGGTTTCGATCCACCCGCAGCGCCATGGCCGAGCTCGCGGCGGGAGGCGACCAGCGCGCCGCGCTGCTCGCGGCGGCCACCCTCTTCCCGCCGCCGCCCGACGGCGCGAGGTTCTCGTACGGGACGGCGGGGTTCCGCGCGGAGGGGGCCGCCATGGGCCCCGCGGTGTGCCGCGCCGGGGTGGTGGCGGCGCTGCGGTCGGCCAAGCTGGGCGGCGCCGCCGTGGGGGTGGTCATCACAGCCTCGCACAACCCGGTCCGCGACAACGGCGTCAAGATCGTCGACGCGGACGGCGGGATGCTGTCGCAGGACTGGGAGCCGTTCGCCGACGCACTCGCCAATGCCCCCAACCCCGACGCCCTCCTCCAGGTTGCCTCTCCTTCGCTGGATCTCAGCTTACCACATGCCCTGACCTTGTTAGATTGCGTACTACAGCTAGCTAGTCAGTTCGATTTGTTACTGTCTGACGCGTAATCTCTTTCCTCTGTGTTGATTTTTGTAACATGAGAGCTAATTTTGTTAATAGGATGAGCTAGCCAGATCGCCAGTCACCTAAGTTAGGGTGTGTTTAGTTCACGCCAAAATTGGAAGTTTGATTGAAATTGGAACGATGTGACGGAAAAGTTGGAAGTTTATGTGTGTAGGAAAGTTTTGATGTGATAGAAAAGTTGGAAGTTTGAAGAAAAAGTTGGGAACTAAACCAGGCCTTACAAACTCTAGAAATTTATTGAACCAGAGCAGGTGATGCTCGAGTTCTTGGGATGCTCCAAATTGTGCTAGAGCATGGATAACACTTCACAGTTTCTAGGACAGTGCATGACTCTTTAAGTCTCTAACATGAACAAAACATGTTGCTAACAAGAATCTGACAGCTCTAGAGATGACAGTATTGGCACCATTGTCTTGTCAAAGTTCATTCAGAGCTGAAACAAATCCTCTAGGGTAAAATATACTGCAAGTCGTAAAACCTTGTGGTTGTACTTGGTCCTCTTCTGAGTTTACTTTGTTTCTTTCACTCCACCATCTCCAAAGCAAATTAGTTATATTCAATCGTTTCTCTTTAGAAAGGTTTCAGGTTTCCTCCATCGCTGCTTTAGGTGAACAACACATCAACAGTTTTTATCTTAAATCCTCAAGATCTAGTTCACTCCAGCATTGTCGAACATTCTTGCATTTGAAAAATGAGTGGTCATCATCCTCATGAAACCTCCAGCATATTGGAATTATAGTAATGTTTAAATTCCTTGATCAATGTTAAAGACTCTGATGGTGCTAATTGGTACTTGATACTGTTGGAAAACAGAACTTCAGTGCCTCAATATTATCATTGGATTGAACTATGGAACTAATGAGGAGTGGCATCTTCTGCCTGAGATGTTAAGTTTGTTCAGATAGTTGATAGTTTTGTTTCTGCCTACTCTTACCCTCAGTTTTCTTTTATGTTTGTTGAATTGTAGATAGTGCTTCAGTTTGCAAAAGATGAGGATATTAAACTTGGTGGAAGCCACTCGGCACAAGTGCTGCTGGCAAGAGACACGAGGCCAACTGGAGAGTACCTCCTTGATGTGGCGGTGAAGGTATGACATCAATTTACATCCTTTATTCTGTATTCACTGTATGTCTCATGTTCATGAGTCAATCTTAATAGTTTTCTGGAACTCATGCATGAAGGGAGTAAATGCGGTAATAGGTGCAGTAGCAGTTGACATGGGGATCCTCACCACTCCACAGCTGCATTGGATGGTCCGAAGTAAAAACAAAGGACTGAAGTCTTCTGAGACGGATTATTTTTCACAAGTTATTGATTCATTCAGGTTCTTCTGAATTTAATTCTCTGCTACTGTAAGTAATAAATATGTGGCATCTATTTGTTTGCATAATTTAACTATATTGCAATAGGTGTTTATTGGAGTTAGTCCCAAAAGATAAAGAAGCTGATGTGATAAACAATAGACTAATTGTGGATGGAGCTAATGGCATTGGTGGGTTGAAACTTGAAGAAATAAAGGCAAAAATCTCTGGATTAGACATTCATGTGAGGAATTCAGGGAAGGGAGAAGGGATACTTAATGAGAGTTGTGGTGCAGACTTTGTTCAGAAGGAGAAAGTTGTTCCTCTTGGCTTTGGTCCTGAAGATGTCGGTTTCAGGTGAGTCAGTTAATTGCTCCTTAAATTTCTACTTGTCAGTTGTCACTGATCTTACCTGGCCATTCTGATCTAACTTTCAGGTGTGCAAGTTTTGATGGCGACGCTGACCGGCTTGTTTATTTCCGTATCGTATCCTCTAGTGACACTAGGATTGATCTCGTTGATGGTGACAAGATATTATCACTATTCGTGCTGTTTATTAGAGAGCAATTAGATATTATCAATGGAAAAGACAATAAAGGAAATGAAGTACTTCCTACACGTTTTGGTGTAATTCAAACAGCTTATGCAAATGGTGCATCAACAGATTTTCTCAAGAACATTGGTCTCGAAGTTGTATTCACTCCAACTGGAGTGAAATATCTTCACAAGGAAGCCCTAAAATATGATATCGGTATCTACTTTGAAGCCAATGGACATGGGACAGTGCTATTCTCAGATCATTTTGTCTCACAACTGGAATCTTTGACCAGTGAGTTTTCTTCAAAGGCTGCAGGTGAACTCTTCATGATTTTTCCAGCATTTCTTTTCTCTTTTGCATTGTTGGATCTATTTGTTTATGGTTGTCGTGATGTTTCCCCCTTTCCTTTTACCTTTTCACATTAGGTTCTTCACAACACCAAGCTGCTATGAGATTGTTGGCCACAAGTCAGCTAATTAATCAGGCAGTTGGAGATGCTTTAAGTGGAATGCTTTTGGTGGAGGCTGTTTTGCAATACAAGGGCTGGTCGTTTCAGAATTGGTGTGACCTGTACACTGATCTGCCCAGTAGACAATTGAAGGTATTTTCGCCAAAGTACCTGGAGTTATTACCTCTTCTTTTCTAAGATACGCCTCTAGTTATCACTGTCATATCAGGCTCCCATAATATAATTATGATTTCAGGTTAAAGTTCAAGATCGAAATTCTATTGTTACAACAGATGCAGAAAGAAGGGTTTGCCAGCCTAATGGGCTGCAGGAACTGATAGATGGGGAGATATGTAAGTAACATCTTCTCTGAGCATATAATACTTATGTTTCTTTCCGACATCCGATTTTCTTGGCATAAATTGAAGTGTTACTGAATTCTGAGGTACCCTGCAGCAAATTACTCTCATGGGCGATGTTTCGTGCGGCCATCTGGTACCGAGGATGTGGTGCGTGTATATGCAGAGGCATCTTCAGAGGAAGCAGCTGATTGCCTTGCAAAACGAGTGGCGCAGCATGTTGAGCGCATTCTTGGATAATTTGCCTTCCCTTTTTTTATCTCTTCATTTTCCAGAAGTTTAAAGTGTTCACTTTAGCTCAATTGCCTGACACATTTGAAGAATATCAAAATCCATTTGTTTGTAATGCAACACTACATGTTTATTCGAAATTTTCAGATTGTACATACTGTGTGTAGAGCCATCAGTTATTGTACCAAAAAAATAGTATGAACAGATTGAGTTCCAACGCTTCTTTTTTTAAGAAAGGAAGTTGTCCGTGCAGAACCAGTTCTTTGATTCTTTTTAGCTGGCGATATACTAATGAAGTTATCATTTACAACCATAGGTGAATTCCTTATTCACATGCCCACGGGAGTTAGGAAAATGGATACTGAAATGAAGAGAAAAAAATAGAAATAATTTATACTGCATGTACTCCCTCCTTTAGAAAAAGCTTTATTTTAACTTTCCAACTTTTATCGGAAGGACTTAAGGGCCCCTTAGATTTGTAAGAAAAGTGTAGAAAATTTGAAGGGTTTCAATCCTACGGAAAAATTTCCTATGAAACCCTTTGAAACAAATGATTGAATCCTATACTAACCTTTAAAATTTCTATGTAATGGGTAATCCTACGGAGATTTTGGAGGAAAGTTAACAAGAGGTCCAATCTCTTAGAAAAATTGATTCCTTCGTTTTTCCTATGGTCCAATCAAGGTCCAATCAAACGGTCGTTCTTGTGTTTTTCCTGTATTTTTCAATCTTCTGTTCTACAGCTATATTCCTGTCAGAATCTTGCGTTTTTCCTATTCCTCTGTTTTTCCATTCCTGTGATTCAAAAGGCCCATAATTGATTTTTCTTAGAAAAAACATAGCATAAATCAATTAGTTTTATTCCTTAGATACCTATCAGCCATCTCTTACCTATCAATTCACGATACTATTATCATATTAACGAGGACGACTTTAATTTCTTACTATGGTCGTTAATTTAAAGATGAAGTTTCGGTGATACGAAGTTACTTTCTTCGTTCCAAGATGGGCACAATATTAAATTAGTAGGTAGAAATAATAGGATGAAGGTTGTGATTTGTTGAGAAAAGAAGATGACGGAAGAAATTAAATGGAGAATAGGTGCAATTGGTTAAGAGAAGATAATACGTGTAGAAATAGCTCTATTTCAGAATAAGTCACTATGCTAGAAATAACTATATTTTAAAAACGTAGCACTTCCTCTATCTCATAAATCTGAATATATCTCTGTCTAAACTAAAAGTTCTACTCCCTCCGTCCTAAAATGTAAGTATTTTTAGCTACAAATCTGGACGCATATGTGACTAGATTTATAGCTAAAAATTGCTATATTTTAAGGCAGAGGTAGTACTTATTACATCCGATGCTAGTTTAGGTTTTCATGAGATCGAGAGAGTAAATTAGTACTCCCTCCGTCCCAAAATAAGTGCAACCATGGTTTTCCACGCCCAACTTTAACTGTTCGTCTTATTTGAATTTTTTTTAAAAAAATTAAAAACATAAGTCACGAGTAAAGTACTATTCATGTTTTATCATCTCATAACAATAAAAATACTAATTATAAAAAATTTCAAATAAGACGGACGATCAAAGTTGGGCGCGGAAACTCATAGCTGCACTTATTTTAGGACGGAGGTAGTACTACTCCTGTACATCGGACCAGAAAAACTTTAGGGCCCCTTTGAATCAAAGGATTTATGTAGGAATTTCATAGGATTCAAATCCTATAAGAAATTTTTCTATTTGGCCCTTTGATTCAAAGGATTGAAGCTTTCTAAATCCTATGAAATTCCTATGGAATGGCACATTGCATGTGGATTTTGGAGGAAATTTAGCAAGAGCTTCAACCTCTTGGAAAATTTCCTTTGAGTCTATCTCTCTCATCTGATTCTTGCGTTTTTCTTGTGCTCCAATCAAACAACCATTCCTATGTTTTTCCTGTGTTTTGCAATCATCTGTTTTACACTTCAATTCCTGTCATAATCCTGTGTTTTTCCTATTCCTTCGTTTTTTCTACCCTACGATTCAAAGTGGCCCTTAGAGGGGCGGATCTAGGAACAAAAAAATTGGAGGGGTTCAATTACACAGTTTCTTCCACCTCCAGCTATCTAGAAACCTTTAGTTTATTATTCATGGTGAAAAATTTGAAGGGGGTGCTCCGGGGATATTCATGGGTCTTGTGGGTGTAGGGAGCCTCGAGTCCCCCTGCACCCACGTTGGATCCGCCCCTGCCCTTACTCTATGTAGGAATACAGCATGAAGTGACCACTGAATAATGACCAGTCCCCCCACAAAACCACAACAGGCCCGTCAGCGGTGGTTTCTCTGCATGTCGAAAACCAATCAATCCCTCACAACGGGCCCGGCCGTCGGCCGTGGTTTCTCCGCATGTCGAAAACCACAGTCCCTCCACTCCAGCGAAGCTAGTCCTTCTCAAACACCGTCCTTTTAAGCATTTGTACCGCTTCTTTTTTTTTCACAAATATTTACACCCTCCGTCTCATTTTAAGTGTAGCCATGGTTTTTCACGCCCAACTTTAATCATATATCTTATTTGAAAAAAATTTGAAAATAAATTAAAAATATAAGTCGTACTATTCATATTTTATCATCTATAACAAAAAAATACTAATTTATAAAAATATTTTAAATAAAACAGACGATCAAAATTGAACACGGAAAATCACAGCTACACTTGAAATGGAACGAAGAGAGTATCTCCCACTCCTGGATTCCATTCCACGCTTTCTTGATGAGTTGCCTGCAAAAGAATCCGTCGTACTACTACTAGTAGTACCCATCCACAGTAGTTCTATCCTGCTCATTGGTTAAAATTGCTGCCGCTCCCCACCCTTTTCACGGACACAATTATGGAATGGTACTCCTCCCACCGAGAAAAAAATAATATGAATGTATGCCCATTGCTGAAAGTTGAGATTCGATAAAAATTTCATGGTTATACTGATGATGTTCGCTACGGTATCATTTTCGCACTTAAATTTGCAAATCTCACGGCCAGATTATCGATGACGCCGTGACAGGCCTCGCCGCTGCATCGGACCTCCTTTCCGTTTTCATGCAAAATAATAAAATAATAAAAGAAGTGTCAGCAGCTAATTACTAGTATTTTTTTACAGCGTCCACAAGCAAATACATGATCTTCAGGTGTCTCACAGCAAAGACCACAATCTTTAAGTGTCCCGTAGCAAATTTTGCCCTAGATGAATGGTTCTTGGGCACCCCTCATCGTGCAGCTCTGTTTTAAGGATGATGACCAGGTCAACATACTACGTGGATGGTATATTAGGTAAAACCATCGAGGGAACTTAATTTACACTGGTTTTAAATGTTTTGAGTGATTGTCACGCCCTGAAAATCGCCTCAATTAGAAATTATTTTAAAAGCCTACAAGTTAAACTCTAATAATTTAGGAAAAATTTCAACATAAAATTGAGCTAGATAAAATTTCATTAAATACTTTGCTTGTTTATCTATTTTCTAGATTTTTCTGAAAATTATGAGCAAGGGAAGTATTTTTAATAAATGAAACATCATTTCATGAATTATTTTAATTGGAAAAGTCTTAAAAATCCTCTCCTAGGCTGTTCCCGGCCTAACTCCTCTTTCTCTCGCGCGTGGCCGTACGGCCCAAGCCTAGCCGTCGCCCCCCTCCTTTCAACCGCCGACATGTGGGGCCCACATGTCGGGGTTGTCTTCAACCTTCGGCCGGCCTGCCCGAGCCCAAGCCGCCGCCGTTCCCCGCCGAATCCACCCCAACCGGCCATCTCCGAGTCCAATTGGTTGAGGGGTTTTTATCCCTTTGTTGTCCTCTATCCTTTCCCCCAAGAATCGGAGCTAATTGCTTCGTATTTTATCCGAATCAAACTCGTTTTCGAGTTTATCTCTCCAAACTAACCCGAAGATTTTCCGTCTTCGATTCCTCTCGGTTGGAGTCCGATCTCCCTAATCCAAGCCTTTAAATAGCATTCCCTAGTCGTCCTCTTCCGTTTGCCTCTTGTCCCAAGTCGAGCCGTCGCCCGTAGCGCCGCCGCCACGTCGCCCTAGCCGTCGCCGCCGCCTCCTTTCGCCGCCGTCGGGTGCGCACGGAGGAGGAGCACCCCAGCCGTCCCTTCGCCGCCGTCGCCGGTCGCCAGAGCGCCGCCGCCGCCGCCGACCCGAGCCGAGTCACCGTTGGAGCTCGTCGCCGGCCGCCGTTCGCCGTCGTCCGTCATAGTTTTTTTTGCACCGGTGAGTTCGCGTCGTCGTCCTCTACGCGTAGATGTCCTCCGTTAGCCCGGCCGACCCCTCTAGCGCCGGTGGTCACATCACCCGTGTCATGGCCGGCGGTGATGACGTCATCATGACGTCATAAACCTCTTTTTAGTTTTCTTTATTAGATGAAAATCGATTAAATTTTGGAAATTCATAACTAAATCACCGTAACTCGGATTCGAGTGGTTCAAGTTGCTAAATTTTTCTAAAATCAAGATCTACATGTTAAAAATATCCACATGTACTGTTTATGCTTGTTTTTGTACTGTTTTATTGATTTTGTTCTTTTGCTTTAGTTTCCGACGTTCTGGAGGAGAGCGTTTTCGTTGAGGAAGGTTCGGAAGCATTTGCGGAAGTTCAAGGCAAGTCACACAGATCCCAAACAACCCTTTGAGCATGTTGAACCCGTTTAAAGCTAATGTTTTATTTCAACTTATGCATTATTTTCGAATGTCATTGGGTGGTGAGCCTTTCCTAATTAATTAATGGTCGAATATGACTTTATTTTCCTATGGGTTATAAATTGATTAGCTTGGACCTTATATATTGAATTGGTTCAGCTAAATGCTATATGTATAATTGCTTAGCCATGCTTAGAAAGATAAGCTCATTAATGGGATGAATCATATATACTATATTATTAATTATGGTTATATTTAATGGTAGCTCACGATGGTTAATCGTGTTTTGTTAATTAATTGATAATTAAAACCTGATTAAGGGTGGGTTGTGAGCATATGGTTTTGATGGTTGTGCTCATGACAATTAAGGACCGGTTCGCGAGCTACTGTTGTGAAACATTTACCGTGCCAACCACAAGCCAGCGTGGGCAACAGCTTTACCTTTTGTATAGCATGATTCATTATAGGGTGCCAGACTGTGAAGCGGCGAGAAGTCGGTGGGGGTCGCTGGGGAGTCCATTGCCTCTGGTTTTGAGGGGGAGATTATGATCCAGGAACGGTGCACTGTGGTGAGTTGTTAGT